AAGTGCTGAACAACGTGTTCGGCGTATCATCTTAATTATTTGTGGAATAGTTATTCCATGTCACAGTGGGCCAGGAATTAAGTCTAGCAGGAAACAAGTGATAACGTTCTGCTCTTACATCCAACTGAGTTGACGTCTTGAGTGAAGTTTCTTGAATTGATTAGGGCTACAATTTGGTGGATCAAAAATTGATGTGGCTGGAAAAATGGCGCAGCGATACATTCTTTTTTATTTCACAAAAAATAGGTTTGCTATCGTAGGCAAAGTTGTAGAAAGTATTTTTTTTTTTTGAAAGTTGCCGAAGACATAAAAGCTTACAACAACTGAGATTTACGAAGTTTTATAAAATTTGCCTTAAATTCACGTTTATTGTATTATATTTTAAACAATCCTTCAAAAGAATTCTTTTATCATTTTTCCTCGATCGATACTGATCAATCCAATCTTTTCCAGATGCTACACACATAAACAGAGACCCTGAGCTCTGTAAAAAAAATACTATCATAGATCGAAACTTGTTTTTGTTCATTGGTGGATCAATTTGCAACACTAACACATTGATCACGACTGCAGCCAAATTTTTTGCATGGTTTGCAGTGACCGCCACCTGGAAACAATACAACAGCAAATTACAGTTGAGTCGGTTACCTTTTCAAAAGTTACAGATCTCTCGGTAATTTTCGATTTGCATATCGTCTTGAAAATAACAACATAAAGGAGGTGCCAAACGAACTACCAGAACGAAGGAAAAGATCAAATGTGTGAGGGAGCGAATAAGACGTAATCCGGCCGTATCTGGCCGTAAACTGAGAAAACAATTTCAAATGTCCCCTGCTTCGATGAACAGGCTCCTCAGACATGATCTGGAATGCAAGCCGTATAAGAAAAAACGAGTGCACGGATTGACGGAGCGTCAAAAGCAAGCCAGGGTCCAAAGAAGCAGAAATCTCTTGGTTCGGCACGGTAACTGCGAGATTTTATTTTCGGATGAAAAACTCTTCCTCCTGCAGGACAGTCATAACCAACAAAATGATCGTGTTTATGGCAAAACTCTTGCCGATATTCCAAGAGATAAACTAGCTGTAGAACGCTATCAGAATGTATCGAAAATCATGGTATGGGGCGCCGTTTCACGAAAAGGAAAACTTCCTCTTCTTTTCATAGAACCTAACGTAAAAATCAACACTGAATATTACATTGAGCAGGTTTTGAAGAACCATCTGCTTCCTCATGCTTCAACGCTGTATGGGAATGCTCCATATTGTTTCCAGCAAGACTCAGCTCCAGCTCACAAGGCAAAGAAGACACAAGCATGGTGCGCGGAAAATTTGCCCGATTTAATCACAAGCGAAGAATGGCCTGCATCTTCACCGGATCTCAACCCACTTGACTTCTTTGTTTGGGGTTAAATGCTTCAGCAAATAGGCCCTACGAAGGGGCTTACTTTAGATCGATTCAAGAAACGTTTGGTTGATATTTGGGACCAAATTCCTCAGGAAATCGTGCGTGCCAGCTGCGATAGGTTTACAAAGCGTTTGCGCAAAGTTATCAAGGAAAAGGGCGAGAGATTTGAATTGAATTAATATGATTTGTTTTTATAACATGTATCTTTCAAATGAAAAATAAATGCTTTGGTTTGGTTGATTTGTTTTGCTGTAATCCAATTTTGTTTTAATGACACCTATTGTGAGATATCCTGTAGTTCTAAAAAATAAATGTCAAATTAAATTTTAAAATTAAATGTCATCAATGATTCAAAACTTACTTCAAATAGACTTTAATCCCTCAACATATCTCAGAGGTATATTAAGATATATTTGAGAAGTTTGGATTTAAGTCAAACGATATATTTTATTTAAATGGAGGAATTCATACAGAGTCAACTCTCCACAACTCGATATTCTATAAGCCCGATATTCTATAACTCCACTTAATTTTTCCATGTATCGTACTCTCCATAAGTCAATATTTCCACAAGTCGATTCAATAACTCGATATATCAAAGGTAGAGCTTCTTAATTCTGTGAATTTGCAGTTACAATCAATGTGTCCTTGGTGAAAAGGCTCCGTATGTTTAATTCATAAGCAAATCAAACTTGAGAGTACTCAGGGCGTGCCAGGTGTTTGAAAAAAAGTATTCAACGAGGTCGACCAAATGTCCTAACATGTCAATACCACTCCTGTTCAAGTTGGAATGTGGAGGGAGAGAGCTTTCAGTACATCTACATTTTTAAATTGATATCATTATTCAAAATAATCAGACATTAGGGATCTGGGGAGAATGCTACCCCTAATACACCCAAGCAACAATCTTGGTTTAATAAGTGTTCTGAACCCCTATAAACCTTGCAACTTTACTTGGGCTGTAACTTGATTAAATTTACAGTTTTTATTTTAAATTTCGGAATTTTTTCATCGAATTAATTTTACAGAGCCGAGAATTCTTATTCTCTATACTCCTCCTTCAAAACGGGATCCGCTTCCAGTGGTTTCATTATATGGTAGTATCGCCAACGAGGGGCAGAGCACTTCCATTGCAGTAATGGATGCAAAACGTGGTCATCACTCAAACACTCATCACGAAATGGTTGCTTTCCAAAGTCGACGTCGCATCGACCGAAAGAAATGCTGACGAAGAACAATGAGAAGGACCACACAATGGTTGCTGCCGAGTAAGAAGACGATCGCGTGACACACATCGGCAGTGGCCTGCTTCTGTTGACAGCCGAGTGAACACTGTCCAAAAATCTTGTAACAGTTTATAATTTTCAAGGGGAGGAGGTGGCTGTCAAATACGAACAATCGTCGCCTACCTCGCATAACTGGTTCCAAAGGTAAACAAGCCATAAGAAACCTACAGCGATTGTTTACGTTTGGAGCCAGTTTCATACAAGAATGATCAGTAGGCTGATTTGACAGCACGTCCCCCCCAGATAATTTTAGGTAGGGGATTTACGTATTCTCGTCAGTTTAAGCAGAGCCCGCACTTCTATTAGCATTTTCGCAGCGTCACGCACGCATTTGTGGTGTTTGTTTATTTACATTTATCTGCTGCTTACTTCTCTATCCATTCCATTTAAAGCGTTTTCACAACGCTCCGAACTACTCAGGTGAGTGTGAATATTGTCGGCAGCCCCCTTTTCTTCGGCAACCTTTCCATTTGAACTGCGGTTCTATTATCGGCAACTCGCATTTTGTAGTGAGTATATTTCTGGCATAACAGGATTACTCAGTTGTAAAATGAAATTAGATAGAAGCTGGAAGACTAAGAATATATTCAGGGAAATCTGTTGATGGGAAAATACAGTGTAATTAACGTTTAAATTTCGGTTGCCGAAAACAGTCAATGGATGCTGAAACTGACGTTTACCCTGCTTACTACAATTTTATTTTGTTTGTGCGCGTTCTCCAAAGCTTTTCAAAGTAAATTTGTTGAAGTCTGTTATCGCTACTGGGATCAATGCGTTCCATTTTTAAATTTAACTACTCGAGATTCGAGACAACAAGGTTGCGATATTTAATGCAAAGTCATGAGTCAGATTCCTTAGAGATTCCTCCAAAACAAATTAATAGGGCTGAAGAAAATTTTCAATTCGTGGACCTTAAAAAAAGAAGCTTGCAGAAATTTTCAATGTTCTGGAGTAAAGATGCAGATTGCGGATCTTGAAATGTTTTGCAAGTTTCCAGATTTGAAAACAAATGTCTCAATACAATGGAGGGGGAAGGAGATACAGCTATCCAACTACGCCTATTAGATTGAGCAAATATTTTGAATAACAAATTTGAACATATCAACTTGACAAGATGAGAAACACCGAAGTTATATCAGTTTGAAACTTTACTTCCATTGAAATGAGTGAAGGAGCGGAGAAGGGAGAATTTTGCCCCCCCCCCCATACTCCAGCTACTTATATGAGATTGAGCAATTGATTTTGAATAATTCATCTGAACATTCCAAATCGATAAGATAGATATACCCAAGTTGCACCCTTAAGTCCCAAACAGTTGCAGCAACTTTATTACGACTGAAATAAGTCACATTGAGATTACCTCAATCGTTTTGCGACAAGTGGGCTACTCCAAAAACATTGCTCGTGTAAGAATCGTGCAGCCGGTTAATCCGAAGCAATGGCCAGTTTTGAAATTTTTCAAAAGGTAATATGACATTCACATCACCTCAAAGGTAACTAAGTAGCAGCAATTTTGAAATTCAAAATCTTTCCATTATCGGTCGAAAAATTCCACCGCTGTTGATTCAAACTTGTTGACAAACTGATAGGCTTTCGAAAATATTGTTTTGAACTTTAGCCGGCACGTAAAATCATTTACATTATGCGCATAAGTTCACCAATTTGGCCCAGCCCTTATCATCGCCATCGGTGGATTGTTTTGGAAAACAAAAGTCTAATCAGATTTCAAAATCGGAGCTGGTTCACCCTTGTAGATTCACAAACATCAACTTCTATCTCGTTTCCAGATCTTTCGCTCCGATCTAAATTTTTCCCCACTTATTTTCAGTGGCAATTGGTATGAAACAATACTCTTTCTCTATGCGTCAATCATCATCATCTGACCGGTCCGTTTAAAGGCGGATTCCTTTTTTTTTTCGTCGAAAGTAGTTAAATATCTTTCAAAAGTCTTCACGGTCCCCTCGCTCTAAAAATCCACGTGGCAGCAGCTGCAGATTGTGCTCAGCTTGCAGTCGCTATTACACTTCATCAACCATGAAATCAAAACAAGTGACATTCAAGTGGCACCACCCCTTCCCGGCCGGCTTTCTTCACTAGCCGCATCTCCGAGCCTGCACCAATCGCTCATAAAGCTCCATTAGCTGAATTATACTAAATTGGTTCACACATTACGGTCCCATCTCCGAGTGTCTTTGTTTCGTCGAGTCGAGTGCCGGTCATGAAAACAAACCGTTAGATTTACATTTCCTAATCCCATCCGGGTAGGGCGGTCTTCCCGTTGCAGCACTTTTAAACGATACACACACATACCTGCAGAAACACTTTGGCACAGCACTAGCGATATCACAAAGCTGCAGAGCAGATTCCGCCTGTTTAGGACCCACATGGTTGGGGGTTACTCCTGTATCCCCTTTTCACACTCAGTCAGTTTTCTTGGTCTTTGCTCTGCACACGAGTAAGAACGATTAAATCAATCAAAGTCCTTGTTGCTGCCACGCAGGACCTTCGGGAAGCGAAGTTGCGGCACACCTTCACTTTCACTTGATCTCCTTCTTTCGCCCACTGCTGCGTACACACCACAGTGATCGACTTGTCCCTAGGAGGGTTCTTTGGCAGAATGACTGTCTCAATTTATAGTCCGACAGGCTTATATAGAATCCTCTTCCCCTATCGAACTTACCCCCTCCAGTCGGGGCCCGGTGCACACTCACAAATGCACATGGGTGAACTGATAACAGCATGAACGATCGCCACCGGGAGAAAGATCATCAAGCTTTCTATGCTTGTTTGTACAAGAAGAATCATGTAGGCACACACAGGCAGCCGAAAATGGCCCGGGCCGTACGTCTAGAAGGATGAACTCGGACTTGATCATCACCGCAGAACGGTTGAGAACCCGTTGTTATCACTTTCTCTCTCTCTTTCTCTCTCTCTTGATTTCGGGTGCAAGAAGAAGTGACTCGAATCCGTCCCTATATAATTTAAGATTAGAGCAGGAAATTGACCTGGCGCAGAGGTAGTTGCATCGGTTCACGTACACCGAAATCAATTAATTGCCCTGCTGCTGATAGTGATTGTCCTGTTGGGTAAACATTTGAACTATGAGCAAATACATTGCTTGGCGTTGTTGGGTGGGAAAGGACAGGTACGATGATCTTGGAAGGTGAAAGCCATGGGAGGGGTATTTTTCTATTGAAATTACAAAGTCTAGGTTGATGATCGATAAGAAAGCTACCTATGCTTGTGGGGTGCATGGACTGGGAAATTTCTGTTAGAAAATACAGACTGAAGCAAATTCGAAGACGAAACAGTATGGTTGAAGTGATAACGCGATCTGTTGCCCTTGATGTACAACGATAATCCAGGATGCTCAGGGAACTGTGCTGGTATTTTGATGTAAGTTTAATTCGGGCGTGCAATTCTAGGCAAGGGAGCATGCATTGAGTACGTTACGTGAAATTTTTGTGAAAATCGTCACGTTTTTCCCATACCTAATGTATTATTTATTTGTTACACATTTGTAAAGCACCCCTCCACACTTTGAGCGTGTCGTACTTAATGAATGCTCCCTAAGGTACTCCGGACATAGTAGGACCACAGTCTTCAGAAAAGTTGGGTCATTTTATATGCTTCTGCAAACATGCAATGTCTCAAATAATTCAAATTGAAGTGTTACTGAAGAAATGCCGATTTTAAAGCCATAATTACAATTAAAATCTCAATATTTAATTAACTCCATCGTAGTAATTAACAATTGCCTCTCCATTTTTGTTTAATCTGTGATGTTCACCAAAAAATGTAGAATCTCATCATGGTATTAGTATTTGAAAATACATTCAAATCTCCGTAGTTCGATATTGACGGTACCATCTAGGTATAGAATTATCGAATTATAGAATAAACACATTTGTCGTCTATAATATCAAGAATAATACCGCTTCGGTACGCTTTATCTGGAACAAACGATTCCGTGTCCGACTCAGTCGAACACGGAAGCGGAGACGGGGTCGTCCCACATCACAGGTTCGGAAACCGACAACAGATACTCCATCGATCACTTCTGCAAGTTGAGCAGCTTCATCCCGGGACGCACCAGCTTGAGAATTTCGGAAGCCCCTGATCCCCCCCATCACAGTCGTGCCTCTCCTACCAGCGTTCAGCAGTCAGTTCCAGCCCTGTGTTTGGTTCTGGTAGTACTCTCTCAGTAACACCAATTATGTACCTGATACGTCCGTCGTTTCTAGCCAGCCACTTCATGTTCGTCTCTCTCCATATGGACTAATCGTTCCGGCACCGGGATGCACGCTTGCTAGCCAAGTGATATCCCCTAATTCTCTCAGCACAGTCGAGTACCTCCCGTCAGCACTCAGCAGCCATCCCGGACTTGTGTATGAGAATGGAGAAGGGGTCTTCCAAACCGTTATCGCAGGCAAGTACACACATGTTTGGAATACTTCTCCTCCAGTAATGCCCAGCGCTTCTAGTCACCACACTTCAAATGGGTTTCACTCGGATATTGCCGCTATAGAAGCTACTGAACCATCTCTCACAGTAGCTGCCGCACCTGACATCGTCTCTTCAAGCATGCCGCCGAGTCCCGTTGCGCCCTCCGTAGCAAACCGTACCACCGATCGGATGTTTTCTGTGTATTATCAGAATGTCAGGGGTTTGCCCACAAAAATTCCTCACCTCCGTCTGCCTTTGTCCAGCTGTGACTATGATGTAGTTGTCTTTACGGAAACATGGCTTCGTGCTGATATTGACGGCAGTGAAATTTCGTCGGATTACGTTTTCTTTCGCTGTGATCGCAATGAGTTAACCAGTTCTCATTTGCGAGCGGTGGAGTACTGATAGCAGCCAAAAACTACCTGAAGTGTGAATCTTTTTTTTTCGATAGCTAACTGTGACAATCTTGAGCCAATTTCAGTTTGCAATCTCATTCGCTTTATGTACTGGCTATCTATCTTCCACTTAGCTCGAGTGCCGAGTTATCTACTGCTCATGCAAAAGCCGTTCAACAAGTGGCAGATCGTTCATCGGATACTTACATTATCCTATCGATCGGTGACTTTAATCTTCCTAATCTGCGATGGCATCTCGACGAGGATATTAATGGGTTTATTCCTTCAAACGCCTTGATTGATATTGAGAGAAGCTTTACAGAAGCTATGTTTGTTAATGCCTTGAGGCAGATTAATGACATTGTCAACACCAACGAAAGACTCTTTGGCCGGGCGTTCAACAATCTCCCGGAATATCTTGACGTGATGGCCGCACCTGCATCGCTGTTACTTGTTGATAACCATCACACACCAGTCATCATACTATTGCTGATTGCATCTGAAACTGGACTGCCCCATAAATGCAAAAAGTGTGATAAAAGTGCACCTTTGCGTCAAATCGTTTTGGTGTCTTCCGATCACTTATTGCTTGCATCATAAGAAATAAGTGCACCCAAGACACCAGGACGATTAGAAGCACTTTAATCTCACTTTTTAATAAGTGAAAACGCGCTTTTTAGTCCAGTTTGGTGTGAAATGCGCAATACTTTACGGGAGTGTTATACCATCCATACTTGACGATCAAAAGTGTTTCAAATTTTACTGTTTGGCATGCGACTTGAACTTGTTGAATTCAGCGGGAGCGATCAGCTGGTGGCGTATGCAGACCATATCACTGTGATCACCTCATCACCTGACCAAATCGAAACGATGAATGAACTGTTTATTCAATTCGAGATAGCCGCCGGTGCCAAACTGTATTCGATTTCCTTCCCTACTATCGATCCCTTCTTTTCCACGACAACCCCCGGCCAGCAATCTCAATTGATCACCCCGACCTCAAAATAATCCTTTCAAACTTATCCCGAATTCTCCTCCTGGTCCAACAAAATTCCTCCGCCGATCTTATCCACCAGCATTTCGTTCAAAAAACCGAACTTCCAAAGGTGGAACAAAACAATCCGGCAAACAACTGGCCCCGGACGTGGCAGAACATAGCATGCAAGCAGCTAACCTCAGCGCATAGAAGCAGTTTGTATCTGGCGGTGATTGGCAAAATTGAACACCGGAACAGTACTGAGGTTTGTTATTGTCATTGAAAGTCTTTCGCGCGATATTGACAAAATTGTTTTTCACATAGTCACTGACAGACTTGATCTTCATTAAAAATTTCGTCAAAATCTCATTCATGTTTTCGTCAATACAAAGATTCACCTGGTAACAACAAGTGTAATTTCGTGCATTCTGTGTCACATTATTGTTATCCAAGTAGTTCAAGACGTAGATGCCTGTTCGCATTAACGGCTCCATGTAATTGTTTGCTCAAGTCATTTAATTTCGTTACAAATTTAGTTAATAAAAAGAATCTACACATGTTCGTCACTGACAGCATTGTCATTAACAATTGACATGGTTTGCCTTGACTATGACTGTTAGCTCAAACGAGTGACCAAAGCGGAATTCTCGCGTCACTTTTCAAATAGACCAATACATTTGCTATACTATTTTTAATGTAGTCTGTAAATAATAACGTTTAAAAATATGTAGAAACGGTAAAATTACAATTCTGTTTTGAATTTCATGCTACAATATAGAAAAATCCACATAGGACGTTTTGATTAGTCAAGTTGTACAGCGGACATGTTACATTAGACGATTTTTCTCAATGACATAATCAATGAGACGTTTTGTTCTACGTGATACTAAATTTCCTTTAACAGATTTCAGAGTAGAGTACTTAACTTTAGAATGGCCCTGCCTTTAGAAAATGAGCACCGATCATTTTAGGCAGTCCGACTGACCGAAGTAATGTACCCATCATTTCAAACTGTACATTGGACAATTTTTGACCTATGATTATCTTAAATAAATGAAAGTAAATTTGGATGGGTGTTTTTGCATCACATACAATGATAGAAGAGCAATAGTTTGTATCGCTTAACTCGATTTGTTTACATTTGTTACTTAGGACCTGTTGAAAAGTAACGCGAGAATTGTCAATATCACCGTGTATTGTCGAGATTTTGCAGCACTGCACCGGAAACTTCTTTTCGTGAGTAGAAGAATGCACACACCGTGACAACCGAACAATCGAAACACAGCAACACCCATTTTGTTCCTGTGATCGTGTCGGTCCAGCTTGGACGGTCTTACAGCAATCTTTTTTCGGTCAACATCACAGATCAACGCATCAATAAGCTCGGTAATAGCAATCATTGCTACACAGCCTTCCCCAAAAGCCGTACTGGAGAACATTAAAGACTGGAACGCGCAAAAATTGGTCGACAAAAATAGTTTCTTTCAGTTAAAATTCATATCACAAAAATCTTCTTATTTTTCTTTTGGCAGTTCAATTCATAAATTTAAAGGAAAAAATGTTCGTTTATTCGTTTGGTTTACCAAATCCGAACTGCCATGCCTTCCGCTAAACCCCTTCTATTAAATTTTGCACAGCGGTCTCATCGACCTTATTCGCCGTTAAAAGCCAGTTAGATTTAAACTGCTGCTCGTTTTCCATGGATTTATTAGTTTTATTGAGATTCCGTTTGACCTAGGCCCAATACCGTTCGATAGGGTGGAGTTCTGGGCTGTTGGGAGGGTTGTGTTTTTGGGTACCACAACCACGTTG